CCACACTCTGGAACAGGAGCAACCAATCAGCTGAGGTTACACATAGTAGGAACCAGTTGGAAATTTAGGTTACAATTCTGGACAGTCTCGACCCTTTATTCATTTTATGGTGAATCCTTTGAGTTTAAGTTTAAACTTTGAACCCCAAGCTCCAGTCTCGAATCCCCAAACCTCAGGAATTACAGAACCCACAACCCTTTGATACGAAGCCCCCTTATCCACAAGATCCTGAACTCATTGAATCTAGAAAATAATGTTATTTCATCACATGTTTGTTTGGGAGGATTTTTTAAGTTTGGGGGATGGCGTTTTGACATGTGAGGGCGGGGTTTTGACGAGTGTGCAGTCATTTTTTCATGTTTTGGGATAGAGATGTTTTGTCGCAGGAGATATTAGTTAGGTATCTACAAGGTGGGGGGAATTCTTGTGGGAAATTTTGAGGGGTATTTTTCCACATATATCATGTAAATTACATTAACCTGTATATACAATATGGGAAGTATTTTTGTGTGAATACCAGTATAGAGCTGTACTGTACATTGATAAATTAAATACTCAAAGGTTTTTCATATGCATATCCTTATACAAGTGCTCCTCTACTTAAGGACGTTCAACTTACAAACTTTCGGAGATACAAACATCATCACTGATGGGGGGGGGGGTTACCTGTCAGAACAGGTGTTTAATGTGGATGAGACTGGATTATTTTGAAGAAATTTTCAGATAGAACAAATATTGCCTAAGAACAGAAGAGTGAGCCAGGTTTTAAGGCTGTATTAAAGGGTATAGCTGTACTAAATATCCATAATATTTTCATTTTTTACAATATGTTTTGTATCTACAGAAGTAAAGTTGGACGGACAAACAAGCCTCAGGAACTAACTCGTTCGTAAGTAGAGGAGCATCTATATACAGGTGGGTGATGATTTATTCTTGTCAAAAAATTATCACTGAAGGAACTGTTTTCTCCATGTATAAACTTTGATTGATCAAACTTTCAGTAAGTTGTTAGCAGGGATGGCATAAGGATGCTATTGGAAAAAAATATTTTCTGCTTGTTGGTTATCCTTGGTCATATTGACTAAATGTCAGTTATGGATACATAATAAATTAGATGCTTTTTCAGCAGATGCAGCTCACCAACTTACAATAGGCTAACTTAACTTACAACGTGCTTTCAGTAGTCTATGTTGAACCATATGACAGTCATCTGAGTAAAAACTCGCACAATATTCATTGACTGTCCTATGTGTTAGACTTTACCGCCATTGGTGAATAGAATTTTAGTTTTACATTTGTAAATATTATTTAAAACATATATGAACAGCAAATAAGTGCTGCTTTCATATTCATATGTAGAGAAATGACATATGTTTTCACATGTACGCACTTACTGTACATACGTTGGCGTTCTCAATCGTCTCGCCTTATTTCTTTACCATTAGTGGTTAGCTACTTCTAGTGTTCCATTTATTAACATTAAATAGCATTACTTAAAACATACATACATGTATTATTTTTTTTACATTAAGTTCACTACAGCTACAACCAGGGTCTTATTTTCTTCAGTTTCTTATGTAGAACCATCGTCATTCACGAAAACAATGTCGTCTTGTCACCTCTTGTGTGTTTTAATATTCTACTTATTATTAATGAATTGCATTGTTCATTTCACATATATAAACATTAATTCAATGAAATACATATTCGGTAATAAACACTAATGGATCTTTCGTACATATTCTTAAGATAAATGTCTGTTTCCTTGAGTGCACACGTATACATTGGAAGTAAACACTGACAACAATGTCGTCTCTTATACTCTTGTGTGTTTTAATATTCTAAGTATTAATGTATTGTATTGTTCATTTTGCATATATAAAGATTAATTAAATCAAATACATATTCAGTAATAAACAATAAAGAATCTTTTGTATATATTCTTAAAAAGATAAATGACGCGGCATCCTTAAATGTGCACGTATATGTTAGCGTTCCCAATCCATCTCTTTTTTTTTTGCCATTACTGTACTTTCATTTTCTTTCGTTGTTCAAAAGATGTTACCGTAATCGCTTTTTGAATGGTTTTCAGTTAAAAAAAACTGTTGTATTACAATAATATTCTATCCTAGTTGACTTGAATAAAGACTTGAATGGAAATATGAGATATTTTTTATGAAACTACCCGTGTTTCAGTGTAAAGTGCCGTAATAATAAATGGTAAACAATTTGCCTTCGGTGCTCGGTGTTTCTGGCACGGCGAGCCTCAGTTTATAGGTTGTAGAGTGTTTTTAGTGAAGGTTTTCTGAAATGAGTTTTATATGCTATAAAATATGCCATTACCCTCAAAAACTTGAGTCGACCTATACACGAGGCATAGCATAAATAAATGATTTCTTGGTCAAAAATTAAGGTCGACCTATACACGAGGTAGAATTATAGAAAAGTATATACAGTATATACAATACAGGTAGAAAGTACTGTCTCAAGAATGAATGGCTCCCTATCCCGTCCAGAAAATCTCGGCAACTTTAGAACTACCCTTGGATAGTCTTGGGTACATCCAGAGTGTCATCCGCATATAATCAAGGTCTGCGAACTAAAAATCCGTGAATTGACAGGGTATGTTGTACTGTGTGACAAAATAATTGTATCACATCAAAATACTTAAGATAAAAACAATCAAATATGTAAAACTTAAAGGTACATAACAGAGTTGTCAATTATTGTTTTGGGGAATATTAATTAAATTACTCTAGTAATGGTACAATGTTTCTTATTAAGTTATTGTAGGAAAATGCCTGGTTTTTATATATACAGTGGTCCCTTGGTTAAGGAACACAATTCGTTCCAGAAGGTTGTTCGTTAACCGAAACCATTGTTTCAATGGGTTTTTGGGTAATTGGTTCCAGCTCACCGAAAATTAATAAAATACACTTTCTTTGAGGTGTGTGTGTAGAAGGCTCCTGGTTGATGATGATGATGATGAGAATTAGAAGTAGGGGTGGAGGAGAAAGGAGAAGAGAAGGAAGTGGGGTGGAAGAGAAATCACCCCATGCTTCATGCCGCCATTTCATCCATAAAATTTTAAGTTCACTTGGTGTAATTCAAGATTACAGTATTTAATTTAAATCAACACTGCACTGCACTAAATATTATCAATATGTAAAATAAATTTCAGAATGACCAATAATTGTACTCTAAAAACGTAAAAATAGTCCAGTCTTATTACTAGACTTGTCTCATTCTTGCAGCAACACTAATTGGCTCAGTTTCTATTATTGTCCTTCTTGAAGACTGTGAGCGTGAGCCTCGAGTGTTAGTACAGTGATCCCTCGGTTAACGAGCGCCTCGGTTAACGAGATTTCGGTTAACGAGTTACCTTCCATAAGATTCTTAACTTCGGTTAACGAGCAATCCCTCGATTAACTAGTTTTTTACAAGCCGACCTCAACATGTTTTCGCTTGCATTTGGCGGTCCACCAGCTGTAGTATTAGTCCGCCAATACAGTAATCGGTTTTAGGGCTTAAATTCCATACTATTTAGGTAAATATCAAGAAGTTTATGCAATTCAATAATTTTAAAAGTTTAATATTAATATTTTTTAGTCATTTTAACAATTATTGAACATAATTGAAGGTAAAGAAACTAGTTTCTGGCACGCCATCCAGCCTGTTAACACACAAACAGGCGTTAGTCTCTCTCTCTTTTCAGTGGAGGTAACATATTGCTTGAGACTCTCTTCAACTAAATGCATTTTTTCTGTGTTTCCAAGCAAATTATTGGTCATTTTGAAATTTATTTTACATATTGACAATATATTATGCAGTGCAGTGTTGATTTAAAGAAAATAATCTTGAATTACACCAAGAGAACTAAAATTTTATGGGTGAAATGGCACCATGGGGTGACTTCTCTTCCACCCCAATGCCTTCTCTTCTCCCTTCTCCTCCATCCCCATTCTAATTCCCATCATCATCATCCAGGAGCCTTCTACATACACACCTCAAAGTAAGTGTACTTTCTACATTTTTTGTTGAATTTAGGCAATTTTCTGTGAGCTGGAACCAATTACCCAAAAACCCATTGAAACAATGGTTTCGGTTAATGAGCAACATGCTGGAACGGATTGTGCTCGTTAACCGAGGGACCACTGTAGAGTTACTCCCACGTATTTGGGGTTTTGTTCTCATTGGGTTACAAGTATTACTTAAAGCTACACTTGTGATGTGCAACTCTTATATAAAATCCACAACATTTCTCAGTCTGTCTTCCCTAGGTACTTTTTAATGAGGCTGTCTGTTTATTTCTTATTGTTCTCTCATCACACGTTGTGTTAGTCAGCTGCAGCTGCCACATTATTACTGTGGGTATTGATGTAACTTTCTTGTTAGTGTTTTAGTGTATCGTAAAAGCATAAAATCACTAACACCTGCGATGAACTGATATTCCAGCCCTGGTGTGCCACAAGAAATATGAACATTAGTTATTGCTGAAACTCAACTAAAAATTAACCTAATGTGGATTGTAAATACAAAGTGTTTCTCAGTCATATTTTGTTTTCTTTTAAGTATATTAATAACATTTAGCTTCATTTTCAAAGCAGAATTTAATCATTAATCAGTTATGATACTTTGCAAATACTGCATGCCCTTCAAATTCGGGGGGCATTTTTATTTGTGTGCAAGGAAATGTATTTTCCCTGTATGTGTTTGCCCTTAGGACAATTATTTCTTTTACCTGTATTGTATATATGTGTGTCTACTCACACATATACAGCTCCTCCCCGACTTACGACCACTCTCACTTACGACCTGCCTCGGTCATACCAAAATTTTGTTAAATTACGTATTTTCGAGTCCCAACGTCAGTGATTGCGCTGTGTATTGACAAAATTTTCGTTTGTAATTCGCTTTAAAATGGCTGGCAAGCTTAAAAGTAAGAGTTTTGTGGTGTTGAGAAGAAAAAGAGATGCCCATTTTAGATTTGCTATGTATTATTTAAGCATTTTCGACTTATGGCCATTTTGACTTACAACCTGGATTTGGGTCCCTAACCCTGTCGTCAGAAGGAGAGCAGCTGTATGCAATACAGGTAAAGAAAAGCTCCCTGTCCAGGCTGCGAAAATGCCAGCAAATTTAAAACTACCCTTAGACATGCTTGGGTACATCCAGTGTATCATCCGCAAGTAATTGAGGTCTGCAAATTTAAAAGGCATGATGTTTTATTTTTATTTTTTTACTTTGTTACACTTCAGTTAAATAAACTTTTATTGAAGTAATTTTGAAGAAAGCTGCTTTGTACATGTTTTAATTTTTACATAGTAACAGTGCAGTACTTTATCTTAAGTAATATTTTCAGGTTCTTTCTCCATCACTGCCTTAAGTGGACCTGAATTGAGCTGGACCTGATGTGAACTAGACTAAAGTGAGCTGGACCTCAGGTGAACTGGAACTAAAGTTAACTAAACCTGATGTTACTGCACCTGCAAGTAAAGTAGACCTAAAGGACTATCTGGTATTTATTTAATATTGTTCTGGTTGTAATATTAGGAAGGTTCTACCGGCATTCCCTAGTTTTTAAGAGTTCTGTTCCTGAAAAACCACCCCACCATCCCCTCCCCCCAGCTAGAAGGTGATAGGATATTTATGGTAAAGGTGTTTTTTGGCTTATAACTTGCATTGCTGGAATCCTTGCAAGATAGCAATTAAATTGAGTATAAACATCTCACAGTTTGCACTAGAGATAATTTTTTTTAGTCCTTTAGCCAAGTACATTTGAGTACAGAGTGAGTACAGTTATATGTTGCTGAAAATTATGGCTTTTTCACAGGGAAACGTCTGTATAACTATCCCCAGTAGTTAGGATATTATGTACTGTATTTTGGGTGTTTTTTATATAATTATTTATCGTTTTTATACGTTTAGTACATTTGCTGGAAGATTCGGACAGCTGGTCCCTCCTTTTAGTCTTGATCTTTGAGGGTTCACTGTAATTGTCCACAGGGGGTTAATATTTGAAGTTGCCAACACCTATTTATGACTGTATATTGAGTCTTATATAGGGAGAGAAAAAAAAACATTATACAGTAAAGCATTTTCTTTGGAAATTTATATTTGTTGAGTATTTTAACCTATAAAATTACCCACAATATTAACTGCTCAAAGTGGGCAGGGTGTTGAGGTAAAATGTGAGTTAAAATGATCAAGAGAACACCAAACAAACATGGATTAAGGGCAGGAAAACACAGGCTGCTTGCTTCTTCTATTGTCATCCAGGTCCAAGTGACTCACACTCATTACACAATTTCCCAATACAATTAGGTTATTTAACAGATAGGTAAGTGAACAGGGCACCATCTGATTACTCTAGAAGTGAAATGCAACGCCATCTAGAAAGCAGAGGTCACTTCACTACAGTACAATTGCGATACTAGTAAACTGTTCCATTGGCCTACTTGCCTCTGTGTGAAGAAATATTTCCATATGTTCAATCTGCACGATCACTTGGCAAGCTTAAAGTCATGTCCTGTCGTGTTGGTGGTGCACCATTTATAGGGATGTTAGGTAGGAGGCAGGGTTCCGTTTCTGTGTACCGTAAGCCTCGAATAACGACGGTAATGTGTGCTCCAATATTGCAGTGTAAGGTGAATCGTTGTATCGTGAATCATTAATTACCATTAAAATAAAGCAATAATAATGAGATGCTTTCCCCGGTCTGACCTTTACATAACTTTTGTGTGGCTTTTTACCCTCTTCCCCAAAAACAATACAATTAATGAAAGTCACTATATTCTTTAAATAATGTTTATGAATGGTCCTTATACAATATAAATCAATATAATAAGATCACACAAGAGGAGATGGGACGCTATTGTTGTTGTCGTGTTTACACCTACAATGTCAGTTATCCGCCGGAAACAAAAAATAAGACCCTGGTTGTTGTTATAATAAAATTAATGTAAAAAAAAAATATTTGTTTTAATTAATGTTATTTAATGTACAGTAAAAGTAACCACTGATGTTAAAGAACAACAAAGAGTGAGAGTGGAACGGCAATGTATGCTGTACTTGCGCCCTCAAGGAAACCGCATAATTTATCTTACAAATATGTACAAAAGATTCATTATTGTTTATTACTGAATATGTATTTGATTGAATTAATGTTTGTATATGTGAAATGAACAATGCAATTCATTAATAATACATAGAATATTAAAACACGCAAGAGGAGACGAGACGGCATTGTTTTCGTTCATGTTTCCAACACCCGTGACGAATGACTATGGTTCTACTTCTACATAAGAAACTGAAGAAATATGACCCTGGTTGTTGCTGTAGTATAATTAATGTAAAAAAATGAATATGTATGTATTAGGTAATGTTATTTAATGTTAATAAATGGAACAATAGAAGTAGCTAACCATTAATGGCAAAGAAAAACTAAATAGATTGGGAATGCCATCGTATGTAAGTGTGCACATGTGAAAATATCGTCATTTCTCTAGTACATAAGAATATGAAAGCAACACTTACAACTGGTCATATATGTTTTAAATAATACTTACTAATGTAAAGCAAAAATTCTATTTGCAAATGGTGGTGAAGTCTAAAACATAAGGACAGCCAATGAATATTGTGCAAGGTTTTACTCAGATGATATCATCAATCAGGATCAACTGTGACTGAAGCTTTCCATAAAGATGATATAGCGGTTGCTGAAACTGAAGTTGCTGTTGAAGCTTCTTATGAAGCTGAATTTGATGGTTTAGGACTTTCAATAATAAAGCTGTTGAAAGAACCTTTCACAGCCACTTTCTTATTCTCATTACACATCTTTATGTTGAGGTCATATGTGCTTTTCACGTCCTTGTTAATTTTAATGCTTCGTTCTGTTCATGGATCCACTTCAGAAAATAATAATATGTTCATTGCTTGCTCCATATAATATCCACAGACCTCTCACCTTTTCATATCGTTTTAACACATCTAGTTTCTCGGATAAGGTTGTACTTGTACACTATCTTTTAGCTTTTGAACCAGCACGACCACCACTTGCTCTCTTGCTCATGTTGAATAGGGACTCAAAAATGCTGTAAGAAACCTGAGAAAGTTTTTCTCCTGTTCCTGTTTAGATGCGTGAAAACAAAAGGACTGCCAAGCTCCGACTCTTGTTTACTGGTGATGCTCATTACCACTCATATAGCCCAGCAGCTTCCCTTACCTGGCAACTTCTTTGCGCAAGGCGCTCTTTTTTTTTTTTGTTTTTTTTTTTAATACATGTTGGGATTTGGTTATTACTGGTACTCCTTGACTTATGACCACCCGGACATACGACTGCCCCAGTCATACCAAAATTTATTCAAATTACGAATTTTCGAGTCCCGACGTTAGTGATTGCGCTGTGTACTGACCAATTTTTTGTTTGTAATTCCTTTTAAAATGGCTGGCAAGCCTAAAAGTAAGAGTTTTGTGGTGCTGAGAAGAAAAAGAGACACCCGTTTTAGATTTTCTATGCATTATTTTTGCATTCTCGACTTACGACCTGGATTTGGATCCCTAACCCCATCGTAAGTCGGAGACTGCCTATATTTACAGTACAGTCATGCGCCGGTTAACGTACGATCGCATATACGTCCGTCCGTCCCCCCGCCTCCCCAAAAAAACCCACTTCCGTGACGCCTGCTGGACCACCACTCCACGACCCCCTTACGGAGACACGATGATCCTTCCCATACTGGCCAGATATTATGTTTTAAAGGAATATCCTTCCTTAGGCTTTAGTAAGCATTTGCCTCCAGGTGTAATGTTAACCTACATCTATTGAGGATAAAATCTTTCACCTACAAATTGACAATAACACATTTGCTATAATCAGACATATCTAGTTGCCTCAACAATTGCAACCCCTGTTGCAATTGGGGTTGCAATTTCAAATTCTGTGTCATTTAAGGAATAACGAAGTCTCAGGTGCACTGCACTCTTAAGATTAAGAGAAAACGGACTCAGGCGTCCTGAAGCGAGAGAAAACGGACTCCTATGATGGGGGACACAAGCACTCACACATGCCACTCATACTGACAGACTTGACACTCACTTACTTGACAAGTTTTACCAACCATTAGTTGTGTACGTTATCTAGTGAATTTAGTCAATATTTTACAGTACACTGCAACACAGTGGTCCCTTGGTTAACAATGGAACAAACCTGTACTGTACATGTACTAAATGATTACGGTACTTAAATTGTTATGTCTATTGCAAATATAGATTGTTTATACAGGTATTCAAATAAATCACTATCTTACAAGAATCCCAGCAATGTAAGTTATATTCACCCAGGTCGTTTGGGTGGCAAATTATGAGAAGAGCCTAGTCACTCTTAAGTAATGATAAATAAACACGCAGGCCTTCAGCGCTAACTGTCAAATCTTATCTCAAATAAATAAACCAACACCAGACACTCTTGTCACCCCCCCCCCCTTCCCACGCACGCTGGCTACCTCCCTCCTTGTGTTCCCAGACAAAAGATTGGTGATACCTTTATGCTTTAAGGCATTTATTTTATATAATATCTCAGACAGACACTCTTGTCACCCCCCCCCCCTTCCCACGCACGCTGGCTACCTCCCTCCTTGTGTTCCCAGACAAAAGATTGGTGATACCTTTATGCTTTAAGGCATTTATTTTATATAATATCTCAGACTAAAGTTAGGAGATTATAATTTGCATTGCTGGAATCTTTACAAGACAGCCAATAATCTTAATATAAACTTCATATATTTTGCTCAAGATATAAAAATTGTAGTACATTAGTGTACAATACTGTAGTACATTTTATAATACAGTATAAAGTTTTTCAACTGTATTTTTGGGTAGATTTACATAAATATCTTCATTTATTTTCATCCATTTACATGCACACACCATACTAAAAGAAACGTAAAAGAAATACTGTAAATGACTTTAGTGCAAAGCTGGAGTGCACATGTACTAATTTGATTACGGTACTAAAATTGTTGTCTAGTGCAAATTATAGGTTGTTTATATTTAAATAAATCAGCATCTTACAAGAATCCCAGCAATGTAAATTATATTCACCCAGGTCATTTCACTGGCTTTTTATAGGAGAGAAGCTTAGTCACTTAAGAACTGATAATTCGTTAGACCTGGGCCTGTGCCAACTGTCAAACTGCTCCCCTCCACCCCACCCCACGCCCCTCCCTCCCTCTCCCCCATCTGCCCAGTGTTGCTGGAATCCTTGTAAAACAGTGAATAATATTAAAATAAACGTCATGTATTTTGCACAAGAGATAAAAATTAATCACCTGTATCACATTACAGTAGTGATTTAGGAGTAAAAGTGTATACTGTATGTACGATTATAGTATTCCACATACACGTAAGTATAAATACTGTACACAGTTTATGTGATGATCGGACAACGGTTAACGTCACGTTTCCAAGAACGTATCTAGGACGTTAACCGGCGCATGACTGTATATAAAAATGTAATTTTATTTTATTTTTATTATAGTTTCGTCATAAATTTGAATAAAATAATGACGTAAATTGAATTGGGTCCTAAATTAACCAGGGTCTTAAATATAAATTGTCGTTGGTGGAACTGTCGTTATCGGAGGCTTTACTGTACAGTACAGTAATCCAGACTGAGAGGTACATGAGATTTGTACAGATTAAGGAGCATTTATCTATCTTTGTGTTAGAAGGTTTGCTTTATAATTCCCTCATTTGAACGGCTTATGGTTGCAACATCATCTTGACTTACTACCTTCTCAAGTACTGTACGGTGTCGTCTGTAAACTTGGCAATGTGGCTCAATGTATTTAAATCTCTGTCATTTATGTAGATCTCAAGCAGGGTGGATCCAAGGATAGAGCCTTGTGCTACACCACTGAGAACCTTTTTCCATTCAGAATGTACTCCATTTATGACCACCATGTACTCCATTTATGACCACCCTGTACTCCATTTATGACCACCCTTTGTGTCCATTCTTTGAACCAGTTGTTAATCCACTTAAAAATTTTGCCTGTGATACAATTTGGCTGGATTTTAGAGGCTACCTGTAAATGTGGGACTTTGTCAAGTGCCCGAGAGAAACCCACGTTCGCACACTTATTCTCAAAAGTTTTCTCGTCCACACATTATATAAAACGGCATACCCACATCAGTTGACAGTCAGGGTTAGTTAGCTCAAAGACTTTGTTTTACCACGAGGAGCAAAATTTAGACCACAACTGTACGGTGCATCCACTGGTGGGGGAGTGCATCCCCCTCTACAATCGAGTTGGAATGTTTCCTATACCTGGATAATCATCCCCCCCTTACAATTAATGTAATTCTTAATATAACTGGGGGAGCACTCTGAGATTCTGAGTTTTCATTGTCTGGTGATTCTATCATTTTGAAGGGACATCCAATGAGAACCAAGGGATTAAAAAAATGAGTTAGTTTTGCACACGGGTTGTCCAAGAGAGGACGCCATTAATAAGTGTGTGTTTTTTTATAAGTAATTGGTGGATTTTATCCTGGTAATTACTTTAGTGATGAAATAAGAACAATTTAGAGTAATGTCAAACTTATTTTCAAAAAGACCAACATAGTCTTGCTAGTCCCTTATCCCCTCCTTTGAGCTGAGATAGCTAGTGACATTGAGGTCTAACTGCTTCGGGTCACTTGAGTTGGCACAATAGTGTTGGCAATGCAAGGTCAGCCTGTCAGGCCATACATATTATGGCAGTCCCAGCAAGTCAATTCTGCAAAACCATTGCTTTTTTAAACGATATAAAAGATGTATTTTGTTATGGTTTTGTTCAGAGGCGCATTTCTACAATCACAACAATTCTACACCAGTGACTGGTAAGTCTTGGTCTATGTACAGTAGTCTGTTACCATTTCAAGGAAAGTGAGTAAGTTTGTCAAGCAGGATAGTCTCCCTGATATCCTAGG